AAAAAAAAAAACAAAAAAAAAACAAAACCAATTAGAAATTTTATACAACAGCAGCCATATAGAAGGCATTGCAATATTGCACCAATATCCTAAGATCTGGCAAGTTTTGCCAATGTAGATCTAGTCTGTATCAAATATAGACTACTTATGAGAAAATGCATCTGCTTAAATGATCCACTCTTGCTTCTGTCATATGTATTCTTCCCTCATGATTAGAGTTGAAAGGTGCAGTTAATTATAAAACATCTATTCTACTGCTTTTAAACAGCTACTCTTATGATCCATTCTGAACTCTGTGATTACTATCCTTCATGCCAGTAGCTTCTGTTAAATAAAACAAAACCTGAGGGCTGATATCCCTAGTGCCACCAAATATTTTGCATGAAATAAATAAGCAGATATAACCAGAAACATAATTCTCTTTCTTACCTTTTAAGTTAAAACTGAGCTCAAAGTTTCTAAAAGTTGCTACCCTCCATTCAATAACAGATGCAGCAGCCTTGCTGAATGTAAAGAGTGGAAGTTGCACTTACTTTTAAGGGGCATTTAGGAGTCTGGCATTACCTAAATTCTCTTTAAAAGTGCTTGCACGCTGCAGGGTCAGATTCAGAGCTTGTCATATACCACTCCGATTCTCACTAAAAACAGGACAACATTAAACAGACTGCAAAGAAAAACATTTTCAAAATGAAAAGACATCAATAAGGAACACTAACATTTACTTTTGAAGATAAAACATAAAATGTTAGTTTTTCATAAATCCATACCTATTTCAGGAATATAAGGAGTTCAAATATTACTGAACCTGTATGGAATTAAGACTGGCTACTTTGATACCAAATGAGGACTCCAGTTATTTTAACTTTCTAAAAATGTTAATACATGAAAACATGTCACATCCAAAATTCAACAAGTATGGCAAACCGTGTGTGCAAGTGCACTAGCTTAAAAATATAGAATCCTAACCACACATAAAAGGGATGTGCCTTAATATTTATAGGATGTAGGCGAGTATGGATATGCTTTCACTAACACGTTGCGCATAAGAGAAGGCAGCTTAGAAATAGTGTTCTGAATATAAAAAGTTAATTTTGTAGAAAAATTTATATTTTTGCATTTTCAGCAAAAAGCCATGCAAAAAGATCAAGAGTTTTAAACTTTTAAATAATAAAACCAAAACATGTAAGACTGAAACACTGAAACTGTTCAAAAAGGTTTCACATAGAGATAAGAACTGAAATCACATCCAGTGACGCTTATTGGGTCTTTTCTTAGAAGATGCAGGACTCCTACGCTAACGTCTGAAAGAAATGTTTAAAGCAGAAAATCAACTTCCCAGATAAGGGGAGCATTCTATTAAACTGCTTCTGGAGTAGTTTCAAGAACTAGCACTTAGAATTAACTTATTGCATGAGTTTGAGGCCACTGAAAAGAAAAAAAAGGGATGCTAGCACAGAATGAAAAATTCTTACGATATTAGACCAATGGCTTTGATAGTAAAACTGGTGAGGTTTTTCTTTTATGTTTTTTACTTAACTACTTTATCACAAACAAACGTTTTGTTTGCCTTTTTGTTTTTGTTTTTTTGTTTTTGAGGGAAAAAGATGTCATTAGTTGCAACGCCTGACCTCATCTAGTACATAGTCCGGAAAATGTAGGTTGCATACTTGTAAACCATCCAGCTTGCACGGCATCCGAGGGTACTCATCTTCTTTCCATTTGTTTTCATCCGGATCGAAGGTAAGAATGGAATCGCTGTAATGACCATTATAACAAAGGCCTCCAAGAACCATTATTTGTTTGTCCAGCACAGTCACACCATGGCCACTTCTACCAATCGGCATGGATGCCAAGATGGTCCACTGATCAGTCTCTGGGTTGTACACCTCTGTGGAAGGGCAGCCCTGAGATTCAAAAGAGGCCCTCAAGATCACACAGACACCACCAAAGACATAAAGCTTGCCATTGTAAGAAATCATCTTGTGAAAGCATCTTGCGTAATTCATCTTGCTCTTATTTTCCCAGCAGTTGGTAACTACTTGAGTTCTCCTGGTCCGTTGTTCTATGGTCCCTTCTTTACTGGGGTCAAATACACACACTTGTTTAGAGGTGGAAGATGAGGTGATTCCACCAGTGATAAACAACTTGTTATTGAGAACTGTCCCCTCATGTCCGTATTTGTTAACTGGATAAGGGTCTACAAATTCCCACTTATCATTGGTGATGTCATATCTCTCTGTTGAATAGAAAGTCTCATCTCTGGTTCTGCCTGCTACAGCGTAAATGAACTTCCCAATAACACCAACTGCAAATTCTGAACGTGGTACAGACATGTCTGCCATTCGCAGCCAAGAATTCTGTCTTGGGTCATACCTGAACACTTTGGAAGAGGCATGGAATTCACCATCCGGGCCCAGTTCTTCCCCACCCAACAGGAACACAAAGTTATTGATGATAGCAAGGCAGTCTGGTCGAAGAGGTACTTGTGGGCCCTCCAGTTCCCACCAGACTCTTGGTTTCTTTAAGAGAAGAATTTTACTGTTAACCATGCTATGTCCAATCATTCCTCGGAATACTGTAGTTTGGGGTTTGGCAGAACGAATGCGGCTTGATTTCATATCCAACAAAGGCTGCTGATGTACATTTTGAAAGTAATTCAATGCTTGGTCAACTTCATAGCGCAGCTGTCGGGAGTATCTATAAAATTCTGATGTTTTAACCTAAAAATACAAGTAAAAGAATTTAACCAAAAGAAAAAAAGCATCAATGGCAGACAAAAATCTCAAAAACCTATGAGAACCATTATGCTATTGTTTAGGCTCCTTTATTAAAAATGCTCTTTCTGGTAAAATTACCTACTTTTTGTTTCCTACGAAGTTTTAAAATTGCACTTGCTTTTATAACTTGTATTCATAGCCATCTATATACATTTCCAAGCTTTTAAAAATAAACAAGCATTTGGTTTTTGGCTGGCTGTGGTGCCACATACCTGTAATCCCAGAACTCTGGGAGGTTCAAATAGAAGTATTTAAGCCTCGCCTGCGCAACTTAGTGAGACCCTGTCTCAACATAAATTTTAAAAGGGGACTGAGGATATAGCTCAATAGGAAGGCTTCAGGTTCAGTCCCCAGTATCACTCAATAAATAAATACATACATACAAATATACAATCTATTTTCCATGTACAAGTTTTGTTCCAGGCAGAAAGAAAATCCTAAAAAATGTACTAGGTACCTATGTTATATCAGGTCCTAGGCTACGAAAGTGAGATCTAGGAAGTCAAATATGGGCTTCACAGAAAAGGAAGCCATGCCTGCAGTTTTCTCAACTAAAGGCAACACTATAATCCACAACTGAATAATTTGGAAAGTTATGTTAGTGAGTTAGTGAAAATTCTGAGCCGAAATACATGCAAAATTCACAGGTTTTGACATAAACATTTAGTCTACTATCAACAATTCCTACATTAACAATTCAGTAGATAAGAATAGGTTAAACTCCTTTTGGCTTTCGAGCTAGAACTATGAAATTATAATAACTATTAAGACTTTATGAAGCATATTTTAAGTGTTGAACTAAGCAAGCACTATGGGAAAATAAAAATAAATAAATATAAGATGCAGTCCATTTACTCCAAGAACTTAGAATATATTTGGGAAATTAAAAACACAAATTCACCACTACACTCCGTCAGGTGACAATTAGGTATGAAGGTGTACAGTACATCTCTGAGCACTACACCACTTTCTACGTAGAGCACATCAAATTGGCCCAAAACACTCAAGCGATACTTTGTGAAAGAGGTAGAAAGTTGAAGACTAGCAGAAAAACCCTGCGTTATATGACAAGGATGAGGTAAGAAGATATTAAGTATGAGTAGGAGAAATGAGATTTATACAGATAAAGTCTACAAATTTTACTAATTTACAGATTTACTAATTTTTAGATTTATAGATTTCTCATTTTTAAATTCACAGATTTACTAATTTTTAAATTTACAGATGTCTACTAATTTGAATTAGGAATAGGTAAAAAAGTAAGAACTCAAATATGATTTGAGAATGTAGACTTGAAGGGATAGGCAGAGTAGTGATACCAACACAGAAAAACAAGACAGCTGGGTGTGGTGGCCCACCTCTGTAATCCCAGAACTTGGGAGACTGAAGCAGGAAGACTACCAGGAGTTCAAGGCCAGCCTGGATTACATTAGTGAGTTCAAGGCCAGCCTAACTACATAACAAGACCCTGTCTACAAACAAACAAACAAATAAAACCAAGACAGACAGCTGATTTGGGGAGAAGTATTCAACTTCTCTTGCATGGTGAGTTTACTGGTAAGATGAGGAAATATATAGAAGCTAGATGGAAATCTAAGATGATAACCTAAGAGGACTCACAATCAAGCACATGAATTTATGATTTTTCTCTCCTTCCTTTTCCTCCTTGCTTTCTCTCTGTAATTCACCAATTCACTTCCCTGTGTAAGTCCAAAAATGTATTTGAAACAGAAAGTTCCAAAACTGTAAGTATTTTTATAACTATATTCAATAATTGGTTTCTTTTGTAATCTCAGGCATTTACTTACTGGTCCATTCATGGACTTCACTAGATTAGCAAGAAGTAAATGGCACAAAAAAGGTTAAGAATCCCTTGCCTAACTATATGAGAGAGAAAATTAACACTGTTATTGTATTGGGTACCCTATATATGTGCATCTCATGTTAAATTATTTCTCCTTAAAAGAACGGTTAAATCCCCGTTTTTCTGATTAAAAATAGGCTTAGAATATTAAGTGACTTTTCCAAGTTGTTTACATAACTAAAACTGCTGAGCTGAGATCTGAACCTAGCCAGGACAATTTTACTCCAAAGCTCCCTCAATTTTTAGTATGCTATAGCATACAGCTACCATTATTCTTTAGAAAAATCTTTAAACGACATAGTCATTTACTAGAACACTTAACCATGTTCAATGAATAAGCCTTATGACTGCTCTCAAAGAAAAGAGTCTATAACTGTTTGGGGGGGGTTGTTTGTTTGTTTGTTTGTTTGTTACCAGGGATCAAACTCAGGTCCTTGGGCTTGCAAGGCACGTGGCGGAACCACTGAGCTAAATCCCCAGCTTTTTAAAAATTTTAATAACTGTTCTTAACAAAAAGAATCAATCATATAGATCACAGTGATTAGGCATACAGCTCAATTCTTCCTAGCAAAATAACTGTGGAAAAAAATCAGCAAATAATGAGTAACAGCAAACAAATGATTTCAATAAAACAATAAAAAGACTATATTGCCACATGACAGATACCATTTTACAGCTATTCCTTACTACGTCTACCCTTTACTACTTGTACTTCACATGTAAAAACTTAAAAGAACTGAGGAGAAAAGTGTGCTTCAATATCTTAAAGAAGCCATGGAACTCTGTTCAGCTGCTAAGGATAACACCACTGATTATTTTCTATTATATTGTGATGTTCACAATATATTCATCTTCTAAAGGGCAATAGTACCCTGGCACTCTTCCAATTAAATAAAAATTTTATGTATGCTTGCTTTAGTAGTAATTCTCTCTGGAATTTCACAAACATTTCTGCATTCCTTGTTTTTTGTGTATATATATAT